GTGTTGCCCCCGCGCCTCGCTCAGCCAGTGAGCGGGAACCGGTCCGCATGTGGGATCTGAACCCTCGGGCGGGAGCGCCGCTGTGCTTCCCAAGCGGCGCACTATCCAGTGCGCCACTGGGCCGGCCCTAAAATATCTTATTTTTAAAAAATCTTTTTTATCTTATTTTTTTCCACTTAAAAATATATCTATGAGGGATCTTCAAAAAGTTCATGGATCAGTTGGTTTGACTACAGTATTATAACACCAAGGTCAAAGGGTTTGGATCCCTGTACCAGCCAGCCACGCCAAAAAAAAAAAAAAAATTCATGGACAGATTCACATTCTTTCTTTATTTATCTATTTTGGCAGCTGGCCAGTACAGGGACCAAACCCTGGACCTTGGTGTTATCAGCACCACACTCAAACCAACTGAGCTAGTCTGCCAGACCCTCATATTTTAATTCTATTTTTCCACGAACTTTTTGAAATACCCTCGTATATCTATATATCCATCTCCCCCCCTTTTTTTCCAGAAATGGTAGCATGCTATTATTCACTCTGCTTTTTTCACTTTATATATCTTTGAGATTGTGTCATATCAATACATATATGGCTGCCTTATTAGTTTTATGGCTATATCATAATTTATTTAACCAGTCCTCGGTATTTCAATTGTTTTCAATATCCCGTTATTACAAACAATATCCTGGAACATACTTATTTGTGTGCATGTGCCAGTATAGCTATAGGATAAATTCCTAGAAGTATAGTTGCTAGATCAAAGTATATAGTGGCCAATGTGATTCCCTGCCCAACATCCATTCCATATCTTCCCCATTGTTTAGTAGTCATAAAATTTGGAGAGGGGGATTGATCTCACCCTCAGCTTCTAGAGGGGTGCACTTTGGGTGTAACCCAATCAGGGTAAGCCCATCCTCCATGCCTCAGTGATTGGTTGAGGCAACACAGACTTAGCTGATCAATGCATACCATTGTCCTGGTCAAGGGGATTATTCAGGAATGGGCCAGTGACCCAATTCAAGTCAATGAAATGTTAGGAGGTATTGCTAGCTGGCTGGTTAGTTCAGTTGGTTAGAACACAGCCTTATAACACCGAGGTCATGAGTTCTGATCTCCATTCCAGCCAGCTGCAAAAAAAGAGAAAAAAATTGCTGAAGTATTTGGGGAAATAAGGTTTTTTGTTTTTTGTTCTGAGGTACCAGAAGCCAGCTTTGTTTCCTCTTTTGGACAGTGTGGTGTGGCTGATGTGAAGCCTTCAAATGCTGCAGCCCTTTTGCTTCTAAGAAGGGAGTCAAATTAAGGATGAAGCTCACGTTTTGGAAGGCTGAACTGACAGATGGAAGGGAAATTAGGTCCTCGATGATATTGTTGTCTACAGAATCAAACCAATCACAGAGCCTGTTCATCTCCTGGAATTTGCAGTTGTATGAGCCAATAAATCCTCTTTGTTGTTTAAGCCTATTGGAGTTGGGTTTTCTGTTACTTACTGATAAAAAAAGGAATATGTACTTTAAAAATTTTTTGATAAGTTGCCTTCCAAAAAGTTATACCAATTTATAGTCTAACAACAAAATATGAGAGTGTCTGTTTCTCCACATCCTTGCCAAAACACTGTATTATCAAACTTTCTAATGTTGCCATTTTTATAGGAAAAAAGTAGTGTCTCATCGTACTTTAACTTGCAATCTTTTTATCATAAGATTAAGATTTAAAAAAAATGCTTAAAAGCCATATGTATTTCATATGTATATATGTGTACCATTCACAACCTTTGCCAAGTTTTCTATTTCTCTTTTTTTGGCAGCTGGCTGGTACAGGGATCGAATCCTGGACCTTGGTATTATGAGCCGCACACTCTTATCAACTGAGCTAACCAGCCAGCCCTCATTTACCTTTTTCTAATTGCTTTGTAAAAGCTTTCTGTATACTAAGAAAATTCTTAGGAAAATCCTAAGAAAGACTGTTATCAATGGGTTGAAATATTTTTTCTGGGTGCTGGCCAATTAGCTCAGTTGGTTAGAGCATGGAGTAGTAACACCAAGGGCCAGAGTTCAGATCCCTGTGCCAGCCAGCTGCCAAAAAAAAAAAAAAAGAAATATATTTTCTGAGTTTCTCATTTGGATTTTGACTTTCTTTTTCTTTTTGTATTTTCCTTTGTGTGTGTGTCAAAATATACATAACATAAAATTTACCGTTTTAACCATTTTAAGTGTACAATTCAGTGGTATTAAGTACTACTTCCTCTATGAATTTCTGTATTCTAGATAACTCATATAAGTGGAATCGTACATTATTTGTCCTTTTGTGTCTGGCTTAGTTCACTTAGCATAATGTTTTCGAGGTTCGTCCATGTTGTAGCATGTATCAGAATTTTATTCCTTTTTTTAAAAAAAGATAGGGCCGAGCCCATGGGGCACTCGGGAGAGTGCGGCGCTGGGAGCACAGCAGTGCTCCCACCGCGGGTTTGGATCCTATATAGGGATGGCCGGTGCACTCACTGGCTGAGCGCGGTACGGCCGGTCTCAAAAAGGACAAAAAAAAAAAAGATAAATGCTCCAGGACATTTTATTTATTTATTTGGGCGGGCTGGTACAGGGATCGAATCCCAGACTGTGGGGTTATCAGCACGAGGCTCTAACCAACAGAGCTAACCAGTCAACCCAGAATTTTATTCCTTTTAATGGCTAGATGTTACTCTGTCGTATGAATATACCACATTTTGTTTATCCATTCATCTATTGATAGACACCTGGGTTATTTCTACATGTGGCTATTGTAAATAATACTGCTATGTACAAATATATGAGTCCCTGCTTTTAATTTTTGGGGGTATATACCTAGAAGTAGAATTGCTGGATCATATAGTAAGTCTATGTTTAACATTTTGTTTGGGCCGGCCTGGTGGCGCACTCGGTAGAGTGCGGCGCTTGGGAGCGAGCGCCAAGGGTTCGGATCCCATATAGAGACCTGTCCGCTCATTGGTTGAGCGCAGTGCGGGCGCGACACCGAGGGTTGCGATCCCGTTGCCAGTCGCGGTACGGGCGCGACACCGAGGGTTGCGATCCCGTTACCGGTCACAAAAAAAAAGACAAAAAGGAAAAAAAAAAACATTTTGTTTTCCACAGTGGCTGCAACCATTTTACATTCTCACCAGTAATGCACAAGGGTTCCAATTTCTCCACATCCTTACTAACACTTACTATTTTCCTTTTTATTTTTTTGGTGGCTGGGTAGTACGTGGATCCAAACCCATGACTTTGATGTCTGCACTCTAACCAACTGAGCTAACCTGCCAGACCCTATTTTTTTTTTTTTTAATCATAGCCATCCTAATGCATGTGAAGTGACATCTAATTGTGGTTTGTTTGTTTTTTTAAAGATGACTGTATGGGCCTGCCCATGGCTCACTTGAGAGAGTGTGGTGCTGATAACACCAAGGCCATGGGTTTGAATCCCTGTATAAGGATGGCCAGTTAGCTCACTTGGGAGAGTCTGGTGCTGCCAACACCAAGTCAAGGGTTAAGATCCCCTTACTGGTCATCTTTATTTTATTTTATTTTTATTTATTTATTTATTTTTTTGAGACTAATAAGGGGATCGCAACCCTTGGCTTGGTGTCGTCCGCACCGCGCTCAACCAGTGAGCGCACCGGCCATCCCTATATAGGATCCGAACCCATGGCCGGAGTGCTGGCGCTCCCAGCGCTGCACTCTCCCACGTGAGCCATGGGGTCGGCCCCTGGTCATCTTTAAAAAAGAAAAAATGACTGTTTTTTTAAAAAAGATGACCATAATTGTGGTTTTGATTTGCATTTCCCTAATGACTAATGATGTTGAGCATCTTTTCATGTCTTTATTGGCCATTTGTACATATTCTTTGGAGAAATGTCTATTCAGGCCCTGTTCTAATTTCTTTTTCTTTATTGATATTCTCATTTTTTAATACATTATTTTCCAGATTTCCTTTAATTCTTTGTCCATGGTTCATTGAACATATTTAAGACAGTTGATTTAGTGTCTTTGACTAGTAATTCCAGTGTCTGGGCTTCCTCTGGGATAGTTTCTGTCAAATTCTTTTTTTCCTGAGGTTGGGCCATACTTTCTTGTTTATTTGTTATGTTTTGTAATTGTTTTTTGAGAACTGGACATTTTAAGTATATTGTGATAACTCTGGAAATCTAATTCTCTCTTTCTTCAGGGATTGCTGAATCTTGTTTCCTGAAGGCTGGAGCCATCTGTTTGTGACTTTTGCAAACTATTTTTGCAAAGTGTGTATTCCTTATTGTGTGTGGTCACTGAAGTTTCTGTTCTGTTATCTCCGAGATCAGCCAGTAACCTGACAAAGATTTTCTTAAATGTCTGGCTCCCCAAAAGAAAAATAAAAGCAAAAAACAAAAACCAAAGTACTTTTTCTTTAAATACACTATAAACCACTTCAGCCTGTGGATGTTGAGGCAAGGACTAACCTCTGTACCACTACCTCAGCCATCACAGAACTGAAAAGTTAGAATGGTGGTTACCAGAGGATGAGGAGGGTGGGAGGTCGATGGTGAGAGATTGGTTAGGTGCAAAGCCACAGTTAAATAGGAGGAATAAGTTTTGATGTTCAATTGCATAGCAGTACTACTAGAGTTAACTATATTGTATTGTATATTTCAAAATACCTAGAAGAGTAGTTTTTGAACGTTCTCATCACAAAGAAATGGTAAATGTTTAAGATGATTGGTCTGCTAATTACCTTGATTTGGTCATTATACAATGTACCATGTATCAAAATATCTTGTTGTACCCCATAAATATGTACAATTAAAATTTTTTTAAGATTACAAAAAACAATTTTTAAAAAGCAGCAATTAGGAATCAAATCACACAATCCTGATATTTGTTTTTTGTTTAAAAAAAGATGACCGGTAAGGGGATCTTAACCCTTGACTTGGTGTTGTCAGCACCATGCTCACCCACTGAGCTAACCAGCCATCCCTATATGGGATCCGAACCCGTGGCCTTGGTGTTATCAGCACCACACTCTCCCGAGTGAGCCACGGGCCGGCCCACAATCCTGATATTTGGAGGACCATTGACCTGTCACCTGCCTGCTGTGGGGCTGGGGGATGGTAGCTGCTATATGAAAGACCAACACTTCAAGAAATTTACCAACCTTATAACACCAATGTCATGGGTTTGGATCTCTGAACCGGCTAGCCACCAAAACAAACAAACAAATAAATTTACCAAAACTTACCAGCCTCTTCATCAAGCTCTCCCCTAGAGCTCCAGGTATTCCATTACACTACAGAATTCCAAAACAGTTATTTCAGACAGTTTCTGACAGCTCAATAATTGTTTAAGTGGAGGAATGGATTCCTGGAGCTTTCTACTCTGCCATCTTCCATGACATCTGGCTGGTATTCCTTTACTCCTTGGAATTTATTACTATTTTCTTTACAGATGATTAATTTTTGTTGTGTTCTACAGCCTTTGAAAATAATGTGTAGTCTATTTGGGGGTACAAAGTTCTGGGCCGGCCCGGTGGTGCACTGGATAGTGCGCCGCTTGGGAAGCGCGGCGAACACTGAGGGTTGCGATCCGTTGCCGGACACGGAAAAAAGACAAAAAAAAAAAAAAAGTTCTACAAAAAAATGTATTAAATTCAACAAATTATTTGTAATATTCAAATCTTCTATATCCTTACCTGATTGGCTCTTTGGATCTGTCAGTCTAAGAGTTATGTTAGTGTCCTACCATGATTTTATCTTCGTCATATTCTTGTACTTCTAATAGTCTTTGCTTTGCGTATTTCACTACAATGTTTTTTTGTATGTAAAATTCAATAACAGCTGTATCTTCCCTCTTGGTTAATTTTTCCCTTTGCCAATATAAACAAATGGTACCTTTCTTGTACCATTTAGCACCTTTTGCCTTGAATCCTACTTTGCCTGGTATTAATATTGCCATTCATCCTTTTTGTTTTGTTTTTGTTTTTTGTTTTTTGGTGGCTGGTATGGGAATCTGAACCCTTGACCAACACCACATTCTAACCAACTGAGCTAACCAGCCACCCTTCTTTATTGTTTTAAATCACATTTGCCTGGTGTGTCTTTATTCCTTTATTTTCAATATTTCTGTGTCATTTTGTTTTAGGTCTGTCTCCTATAAATATGTGAACGGTCTTCAAAAAATTCACGGAAAGATCTGTATTATCTTTTTTTTTTTTTGAGACCGGCCACACCGCGCTCAGCCAGTGACTGCTGTGAGCGCACTGGTCATCCCTATACAGGATCTGAACCCGCGGCGGGAGCGCTGCTGTGCTCCCAGCGCTGCACTCTCCCGAGTGCGCCACGGGCTCGGCCTGAAAGATCTGTATTATCTTTTAATTCTATTTTTTCCACAAACTTTTTGAAGTACCCTTGTATAACTGGATTTTTAATTTTTATTTATTTATTTATTTTTAAAAGATGACCG